TTGTTCTTCTCTTTTCTTTCCAATTTCAATCTAAGAACCTCCTTCCATAGTATTTTTCTGTGTTAATTCCAAATTGCTATTTCTATTTTCTATCATTGGTCCGACCTGCTGCCGTGACCTGCTGCCGTGACCGATTGTGCCCTGCTTCGTCTTTGGTTCAACCGCCGATGGAAACCCGTTCTCAATCAGCTCGTCTCGATCAACATGATGAACAAATTGCTAATATTCAATCTGATATTCTCGAAATCAAGGCCTCCATGGATTCTGAACGACTTGAATCAATGGAATTTCGTAAAATAATGCTTGGCTGGGTAAAACAGCAGGAGAGACACCCATTCTCTCTTCCTGGCGATGCTTCTGGACTAGATAGGGTCACTCCACCACCAGCTACTCCAGGCGGTATGGATTTTCTTCCACCATTGATGGGGAACGCATTTGGGCCAGGGTCTGGAGAAGGCGTTTCCACAGGTTTACCATGGGCTGTGAAGAAGATCAAGCTGCCAGAATTTTCGGGTTTTGACCCACAAGGATGGATTCAAAAAGCCGAGTTGTATTTCGAAATCAATAACACTCCGATTGATTTGCGTATACGATTGGCACAATTAAGTATGACAGGGGTGGCTGTCCATTGGTTCACCATTGTGAAGCAAGTATACGAATCAATTACCTGGGAGCAATTAACCAAAGAGCTGCTGCATCGTTTTAGTGGTCTGGAAGTTCACAATCCTTTTGAGATGTTGGCCACCATCAAACAGGTATCCTCTATCCATGACTACATCGATGAATTCGAATATTTGCTCTCGTTAGTTCCTCGGTTACCTGAGGAACAGTCGTTGGGGTATTTTTTGGCTGGTTTACGTGATGACGTTAAACAGTGGGTCCGTTTACATCGTCCCAAATCACGTCTTGAAGCTATGTATCTGGCAAAAGACGTAGAGGAGATGTTGCATCCTTCATCAGGAAGCAATTCTCAATTCCGTTTCAGATATCATACAGGCCCTGGTCCGGGAATGAATTTTGAGGGTGGAACACGGGCTATAGCTACGACTTCTAAACCACCAATTTCACAAGTTGATCCAAAAAAACCCTTTCCTAATTATCGTTCTTCAGCTAGTGCTTCGACAGATTTTGCGAATCTGTTTAATCGAAATCGTGGGGTTCGCTCTCTCACACGTTCTGAGTGGGACGAGCGACGGAAGAAGGGCTTATGTTTTCGATGTGGGCAGCAGTTTGGGCCTGGTCACAAATGTCCTGACGGAAAACTTCGTATTTTACTGCTGGGGGATGATGAATTGCAAGAGGAAGACGGAGCACTTCGCAACCTGGAAACTTATGAGGATCGGGAGGTTTTGGAGAACGATAACATTCCCACCGGAAGTTGCCATTCTTTGGAGCTCTTAGGCACTTTTTCGGCAGCAAATTCGGGTGGTAAGACTCTTAAATTTGAAGGCGCCATTTCGGGTATTCCTTTAGTCATTCTGATCGACAGTGGAGCGACTCACAATTTTATATCCCAAAATTTGGTTTTGGCTTTGGGTCTTCCGATTTTGGTTATTCCTGGCGTCCGTATTCAACTCGGGGATGGGCATCAAGTGTTGGTTACTCAAATGTGTTCAAACCTTAAGGTAATGGTTGGCCCTTGTGAATTCACTGTCAACGTGTTGTTATTCGACATGGGACATTTGGATGTGATTTTGGGTATGGAGTGGCTTAAGACGTTAGGAGATGTTGTGCATAATTGGGAAAATCAATCCATGCGCTTCATACACCATGGAGTTTCCATTGGTCTTCAAGGAACGCCCGGGCATCTGACTACACATTCTTCTTTACATAGTTGGTTGTCGAGCGATGAATATTCGGGTGTCTTAAATCTAGCACAACACAGTTCTGGAAAATCGATTGCAGCACCGTGTCTAACAGATTCACAAACTCGAGCTCTTCAAGAGGTTTTTGGACGATTCAATGCTGTTTTTGCTGATCTGAGGGGTTTACCTCCGAGCCGTAATCATGATCATGGCATTACCTTAATAGCACCCAATGAACCCGTTTGTGTGAGACCTTACCGTTATCCACATGTGCAGAAAGAGGAAATAGAAAAACAGGTAAGGGAGCTGTTAGCTGTGGGAATGATTCGACCCAGCAAAAGTGCCTTCTCGAGCCCTGTCATTTTGGTGAGAAAAAAAGATAATTCATGGCGTATGTGTGTGGATTACCGGGCTCTTAATAAAGCTACTATTCCGGATAAGTTTCCTATTCCAGTCGTCGAGGAATTGTTAGACGAGTTAAAAGGGGCACAGTTTTTTTCTAAGCTCGATTTAAAATCTGGATATAATCAGATCAGAATGAAAGCCGATAGCATYGAGAAAACGGCTTTTCGAACACATGACGGGCATTACGAGTGCTTGGTGATGCCGTTCGGCTTAACCAATGCTCCGGCAACATTTCAAGCGGTAATGAACGACATATTCAGACCCATTCTTCGCAAATTGGTGGTGGTTTTTTTTGATGATATCTTGGTATACAGTGCTTCATGGTCTCAACATCTCCATGATTTGGCCCAAGTRTTACAAATTCTGCGGTCCAATCAGTTTGTTGTCAACYTAAAAAAGTGTTCGTTTGGCCAACAGTCCGTCAATTATTTGGGTCATATTATCTCGGGTGCCGGAGTGGCCATGGATCCAGATAAAATAGGGGCTATTCTTGATTGGCCACCGCCTAAGAAGATTAAAGGTTTAAGAGGATTTTTAGGCCTCACGGGATATTACCGTAAGTTTATTCGTAATTA